TATGCTCATAAGTCCTCATGGACTGGTGGTAATAACACTAAAACTCAGGAAAAACTGTTCCTGATAGTCCTATGGACACTGAAAATTGATAAAACAGTTAATAGCCAAGCTTGGACTGCGTAAGAATGCTACTTTGAGTGCTAGGCTGGACATAGCAATGTGCCACAGGGCAATCATGTCTAGAAAGAATAGTGATATTAAGGTACAATATAGGCAAGTTTTAGCAATGTTAATTATATTAGGATGCCTCATGACCTAAATACCCACAGCAAAACGTTTCAATGCACTATTTCATAACTAGATACTGCTCTGCTACAAAACATGCTCACACGATATCTATTCTAGCATAGGCGAACTAGCACTGTTAAGCACCTAGCATCTTTAGCTTAATCTTATTTAAACCTACTCTGACGTAACGACAGTTTAGTTAAGCATGCAAAACATATAAAAATGTACGAATTATCATGCCACTGTTTATCTTTTATGAAGCTTGAAATACGCTGTTGTGGCGTCTGTTGAAATCTTGTAACCATCTGCACAGCACAAAATAAAGAATTTAAAAAAAACAAAAAAACGGAATAATAGAGGGATTATACTTCTGTCTGGATGCAGGAACAATGTGTTAGACGTCTTCACGAACTCCGCACAGACAATATATTTCATTACTTAGCTGATGAGTGGATTTAATGAATATTCACCAAGGGATGTAAGAGAGAAGATATCCATAAAGTAGCCAGTGTCCGGGTACCAGAGACGGCCAGTGCGGAACACAAACTAGACTAATAAGTCAGTGAACACAAGATGGAAACAATAAGATACTACCGAATTACAGTCTGCCTCTCCACCAGCGCAGGACTTGTGCCCGTGCCAAAAGAGGCGAGACGTAGCCGATATGCGTCTGGTTACCCAGTGATGTGTAAAGAATGGCGCACACAGAAAGGTGACCCGGGGACTGGTCGCTGTCAATGGAAACTCTCTCCATTAATAGATGTCTAGTTCCACGTAGACTTTCAGAGATATTTACTATGAGTGGGAATTGTCCGGACTTCACATTTGGAATTCATGTAGAGTTAGTGACAAATTTCAATCCATACATCACCTCTGATTATATTTCCGTTACCAATGGTACTTCATTTGGTTTTAATCCCACCACATATTTTACCAACATTTCTCGTGTTGCTAAATTTAGCTGAATTGATAAGATAATAGCGAATCATTGGCCAGTTGAGCTATTTGGCATTTTTTTTCCATTCTGGACTGCATTTCCCATGATCCTCTTACAGTTATAATGCTGGCAAAGCGTCAGGGGAGATGTAGTCCACAGCACCTGGAGTGCCAAAGGATCCCTACACCTTATCTAGTGAGTTAATCGCTTTGTAATGTCCCCTGGCTGCGTGAATGTATCTCCTAGTGATATGAAAAGATTTCGCTGTGGGAATCACATGTGTTCGACACAGAATGGTCCGGAAAACTGATTGGCAAAAACTCAGACAAACATGTTAAGCTGTGACCGAGAATCTGCAAATTCTGCACAGTCTTTGGGATTCACTGAAATTCATTATTTAGTGAAAAAAAAACAGATAGTGCAATCACACAGAACGGACAGATATATTATCTCCCCGCTACGGACACTTGGAGAAAGTAAACTACACAATACAGAGTCTGATCTCCCCCACACTGCACAATACAGAGTCTGATCTCCCCCACACTGTACAATACAGAGTCTGATCTCCCCACACTGTACAATACAAAGTCTGATCTCCCCCACACTGTACAATACAGAGTCTGATCTCCCCACACTGTACAATACAAAGTCTGATCTCCCCCACACTGTACAATACAGGGTCTGATCTCCCCCATACTGCACAATACAGAGTTTGATCTCCTCCACACTGCACAATACAGAGTTTGGTTTCCTACATACTGTACAATACAGAGTCTGATCTCCCCCACACTGCAGAATACAGAGTTTGGTTTCCTACATACTGTACAATACAGGGTCTGATCTCCCCACACTGTACAATGCAGACTCTGATCTCCCCCATACTGTACAATATAGAGTCTGATCTCCCCCACACTGTACAATACAGGGTCTGATCTCCCCCACACTGTACAATACAGAGTCTGATCTCCCCCACACTGTACAATACAGGGTCTGCTCTCCCCACACTGTACAATACAGGGTCTGATCTCCCCCACACTGTACAATACAGAGTCTGATCTCCCCCACACTGTACAATACAGAGTCTGATCTCCCCATACTGTACGATACAGTGACACTATTTTAAGAAGATTCCCTAATGAACACATTAGTACAATATGCTGAATGGGGGATGTATTGTAGTATAGAAGGTGTTATTTAAAGAAAGAATCCCAGATTTCTTACAAAAATGTCCGTTTATTGGAGGTGTCCCTGGCAATGGCGGTGGCATGGTACGGTTTGCTTGCTTAGCTGCAAACTCCACCTTCATTGTACAGAAATGAAACTAAAAGCTTATTTATTCACGTTTCCTGCTTTTGGAGTCTGCAGGTCTTTTTTAAAACAAGTGACTCATTGGGGTTTATTCGCTAAACAGCAAACGATGGTGATTTGAAAAGCACGTTACAAGATGCAGGCTATAAAAGCCAAGCTGTGATTCAGAAACGTTTGCCTACATTATACAGCTTAGTTATAAATAAAGTCACTGTTTAAAGATAGAATTGCTGGGAACCCTAGGAACTTTCGAAATATAGAAAAGACTGGGCTACAACGGATTTACCAACTATATAGAGAAGGGGATATCATACCATTTCAAGATCTCCAACAAAATACCCACCTGACTCCAGCAGATTACTTTAGATATGTCCAGATAAGGGACTTCGCTAGAAGACCTCGTATTAAAGCTGCAGCCCAGGGACAGTTTACTTTTTACGAGAGACTATGTAGAGAGGGATCTGCCCCCAAAGGAATGATTACGCTTCTGTATGCTCATCTCAGCACGGAGACTAAAGAATGGGGTAGATTGAAGTACACTGATAGATGGGAATCGGACCTGGGGGAGGAACTGGAAGGAATCGAATGGCAGGAGATCTGGGAGGCAAACAAGAGCGCTTCTATATGTGTCACGCAACAGGAGCAGGCATGGAAAACCATGCTCAGGTGGTATACTACTCCGATAACTTTGCAAAAAATGCACAAGATAGATACTGACGAATGCTGGAGGGGTTGCGGATTCCGAGGCACGTATCTCCACATGTGGTGGGAATGACCGAAAATCCACGGTTTTTGGAAGTCTGTTGAAGACCTATTGAAGCAGACGTTTGGCAAACCCCTGGCCTTGGACCCATGGATCTACCTGTTAAATAGATCTATTGAGGGATGGACGAGAAGAGAGCAGAAACTGGTACGGGCGATAACTTTAAGTGCACGCAGAGCTGTGGCAACGGCGTGGCTATCACCTGGAGGCCCGGAGTTTAGGGGGGTGATTTCAAGGATAAAGGAAAGCAGAATCATGGATGATCTGACTGCTAGATTAAGAGGAACAACCAGGGTTTGGGAACCATGGGACAATAGTATAATGGGCTCCGGTAACGATTGATGGGCTGAATATCTGATTTAAATCGGGATCCGACACTGCGTGGTCAGTGTCGGAATGGAATTCCTTAGCCTCGTTCGCCTCCCCACCACCCACCCCTCCTCCCTATCCTTCATACTCACATCTTTCTCGTCCTCTTAATCCCTCTTCCTCGCCTTATCTTGTCTTTTCTTTCCATATTTCTCTTTTTCACGTTTCTCCATCTTGTTACTAAACCCTTGGTTTACAAGGCTATCTTTTCTTTTTTACCTCTTTATTTCTAACATTGTCTCAGTCTATGTTGTCATTATTTACTTTCCTCACTCAGGCATGAGTATACTGACGGAGAATTGAGGATGCCTAAAGTACACCCTGACATGGATAGAGTTAGGGCTCCTTCTTAGAATGCATGGCCTGACTAAAAGATACAATATCATCGATGGGAGGCGAGTGGAATAGAATTCATAAAGAGGCTTGTCTTTTGGGCTAATGTCATATTTCGTGTTTTCAAGTCGGATTTCTATCATTTTGGCTCCTGAGCAAGCCTCACAGTTGTATTGCTCTTGCTATGCCTATCGTGTGCAAAAATAAGGAATTTAAATAATGTAGCTATATAAAAAACACAAAATCTTTGATAGGGGGCAAGTTGTATGGAATCTATAAAGTGGCTTGTCATATGGGCCGATGTCAATTTTTATGTTTATAAGTATGCTGTTTTATATTTTGGTTTCTGCGCAAGCCTCCAAGTTGTATTATTCTTGCATTGCCTATCATGTGCAAAAATAAAGAATTTAAAAAAAAAAAATAATTGCTGGGAAATCCAAACTATTTCTAAATCAGCGATTTGGGCCTAGATTTTCATATTAACTTTGAATTCCTGGCAATTCTCACTTTATGGAATGTTCCTGTAAACATTGAAGAACTGACAGGGGATTGTACCTTTTTAGGTCAAAATTGTTTATTTGGTAAAAATTCCCATCACTGTAATATTTTCAGCTTGACTATTTTTGACCTACACTTTGCCATTATCGCTGCAAAAATAGGTCCCGGGAACCTGTCCCGCATTTTGAAATCTGCCGGTAGGCATTAGTAGACTATGAGATTTAGGAGCGTTCCGTGCATGCGCCTGAGGAAGGCAGCCTGACTATCATCTTTAAGGCAGAACCGCCCCTTTGCTTTGAGGGTTGGCTCCCTTGGAATGGCGAGCATGCCCCTTTAATGGATGGCTCCCTCCCTTGGAATGGTGAGCATGCCCCTTTAATGGATGTCTCCCTCCCTTGGAATGGTGAGCATGCCCCTTTAATGGATGGGCCTGCCCCTTTGCTGTGCGGGTTGAGAGGTTTCATTCTTTTAAGCTTCAAGCTGTGTTACCTAAACTGATTTACCCTGAAACATTTGTTCAAAACAACAGAATTGAAGACATTTTAAGCATAACTACGTAAAGTTTGAATGGACAAAGAGGGGCACTTTTAGGAGTATGATTGTGGTGTGTAGGCAGGAGTGGAGCTGTTTGGAGATTCTTACTAATAACAATTTATACAACTAAAATGTAATTTAGAAGAACAATGTATCTTATTTACACAGAGTGATTTCTAAACACAGTTATTGTACTTTAAAGACATTACTTGGAGTATTATTACTGTGGAGCTCTGTGATACACTCAGTCACATTACTGGGAGTATTATTGCTGTGGAGCTCTGTTATACCCTCAGACACATTACTGGGAGTATTATTGCTGTGGAGCTCTGTTATACAGTCAGACACATTACTGGGAGTATTATTGCTGTGGAGCTCTGTTATACAGTCAGACACATTACTGGGAGTATTATTACTGTGGGGCTCTGATATACATTCAGACACATTACTGGGAGTATTATTGCTGTGGAGCTCTGTTATACACTCAGACACATTACTGGGAGTATTATTAATGTGGAGCTCTGTTATACACTCAGACACATTACTGGGAGTATTATTGCTGTGGAGCTCTGTTATACACTCAGACACATTACTGGGAGTATTATTGCTGTGGAGCTCTGTTATACACTCAGACACATTACTGGGAGTATTATTACTGTGGAGCTCTGTTATACACTCAGACACATTACTGGGAGTATTATTGCTGTGGAGCTCTGTTATACATTTAGACACATTACTGGGAGTATTATTGCTGTGGAGCTCTGCTATACACTCAGACACATTACTGGGAGTATTATTGCTGTGGAGCTCTGTTATACACTCAGACACATTACTGGAAGTATTATCGCTGTGGAGTTCTGCTGTACACTCAGACAGACCAATAATACGGAGCTCCTGGAAAAGAAGGACATTATATTTTATCGCTGATGCACAGGTTGTAACGGTTTAGTAGTTTGGCCCCTTACAGAGGGAGGCCCCCACATTGAATTCTGGGTACCAATGAGTAATGGTGGCAATCACATGATAGATGCGGACGCTCGTGTTGTCTCCCGCAGTACAAGATGGCATTACGAGTAGCTATGAGCAGTTGGTTGGAAGGATGACAATATCCATTGTAATTTTACCCCCAGGGCAGTCCCTGGGAATGCTGAATTTCAGGATTGGAGCATTCCAGTTTCTGTGGTTTGTTTCTTACAAGGCTGGCTTTTCGTTATATGCCCTAAATCACTGTCTAACACAGTGAGGGAGTTTAGTAATAATGTTATAGAAAAACCCATTAGAAACGTTTGGATTTACTCTTAAAAAGTCAATTTTATATATCCACAAAACTTAAAAATATATAACCAGTTAGAGCGCATTGCCTGCAATGGCTCACCTCGGCACTGCAAATATCAGTGAATTACATTTCCCATGATGATAAATTGTGTGGTGCCCAGCTTGACCGTCACAATATAGTGCTGGCTCTTACTGAGAGGCAGATCCTCAATTTACAGTACTAACAGTACCTTAAACACAAACATGAAAACGATACTGAAAAGGTACAGGTGTGATATTTAACATATTAACCCAATATGAGCAAATAAAAAATGGGATCAGGTCTGGTACATGAAATACTCCATTCTAAAAGCATTCAAGGAAATGCTGTGCTGACCTTTGTACCATTCCATTGTACCACAGGATCATGGGAAGAGCAGGCGAATTTACATAAAATGCCCTGTGATGTCACGGCTGTGATGTCACAGGGTAGCTTTAGGAATCAAAACATATATAATTGGAGATAAATAAAATACCTATATCAATTAACAGCACAATGAAATGTTATTTAATGTGTTAGATTTGAAGTTTCAGAGGAAATGTGTGTTTCTGGGGTCAGAGCACCTTCACTAAACTTTGTAACCCATGTTTCCCCCTGTAATCAGTCTCAACATAGTGTACATGTGTCTGATTTGTAGAATATACAACTTACAAGAATATGTTGGCTCTATATAAATACCAATAATAATTATTAATAAAGATTTTAAGCCATGAAACCATAATCCTGCTAAACGATATATATATATATAGACGGTGAGGGGAACAGATTGGAAGGAAGGTTCGAGCTCCCCATCGGTCGCTGTCTGTGATTCAGAGTTGAAGACTCAGGCAGGGCTCGGAGAACGTGGATGAGTCAGTGTTTTCTTGCAGAGGCGGACTGGTAACACAGCCTTCGTGCAATGACACAGAGCCAGGCCGAATCTGAGCCTTCCTACACCATGCCCTGCCTCCTCACAGCCTCCGAATCCACAAACAACAGAGACTACTGGGGCTTATTCGCTAAACGGGAAACTGGGAAGAATCGACAAGGCAAAACAAGAAAACAAACTGATTAAAGAATTGTGTCCTACATCTTGCAATCATTTCTTGTCACTTAGTGCCTTGTACATACTACATAATAACATTAAATATCCTACTTCGAACATATAATTGGAAGACCAGCTACAGGAGGGGAAAAACGCTGCTGGCAGACAGGACACTTGGTTGCTACAGTGATGGGAGTTACACTCTGTGGCCTCTCCAGTGTTCTTAGAGCTACACGTAGGGGTTATCCTGGGTTATTTACCCCCCCCCCCAAAAAAAACCCAATTCTGTGATCACCTGGAAAAATAATAATAAAAAAGAGCATTAAGGTCAGTATGTAGCCTTACACTTGACAAAATACTTCCACAGACTCTTTCACAGGTAAAACGGAAAGAAATCGCATCCTTTTCACAGCACAAAGACAGAAATCGTGAGGTTTTTTTTCACCCTGCGAAAATTGCAAAACAAACAGGGTTTGCGACTTGCAGGGTAGTCAAAGTGAATTTCAGATCATGATATGAGAACTCCCACTTAGACATGCTTTCACTAGAACTTGAGATCGTCTAATCAATTCCTGACAATTCACGGTTGTAGTGGATTCACACCAACAACTTTTATTCCCTTCCTTAGCTGTCCGTACACCCCCCTGTTACAGTACTGTGTTTTATCCTATGTATTTTTCATGTGATTACACTTTGTCCATTCAGGAGACTTCATCTGAATAAAACCCGTTCACCTCCCGAACCACCCCTGTACCCCATTAGAACGTTGTCACCCACCACTTAAGTGTGAAACCACAAGGGAAACATTTAATAAGCGCTTCCCCCTGTGTGGCCGCCGTTCGTATAACCAAACACGTGGCAGAGAGGATGGCGGCCATCTTGTCTTCCGAACGAGGGCAGCGGTACTTGGTCGTCGAGTGCCTGGAACACTTTTCGGCTACGCACTCACACGAACACTTTTGACCGCTGCCCGTTCCTGACCACCTACACGAACGGCGTCCGGGAGATATGAAATACCGAACAGGGGGAGCATTCGTATTATGAAAGCAAGAGATTCCCTTGTATGGTTTTCGCACAGGAACCTCATGAACAGAGACCGGCCAGGGCACCTATTCTCCTGGAACTATTTTGGGCTACCACCTCGTGTCTGGCCAGTCCAATCTTCCACACGATGCCGTTCCCATTCTACTGAACCTATCCAAATGATTCTTGGATATGTTGGTCACTCAGATTGGGGCTATCAGGGAATTTACTTTCTGTGGGGTTCCTATGTATGATATTTTGTACGGGATATTTGGGGGATTTTTTTTACCTGAGGGATAATTAAAATTGGAGGAGTTTACTCAGGCCATTATCTCTCAGGCACAAGGGATCCTGGGATTGAAACCTCTGCATTTTTTGCCTGTGAGACCCCTTGCATGAGAGATGGCATAAAAGCCGTATATGTGTGAATAAAATTCAGTTATACCCCCAGAGCCGAGTGTCGTCCAGTTGCTGGGGATGAAGTGGGAGATCCTTGGATTGCTTCACTTGTTCCTGACTATAATTTGGTGTAACCAGCAGAGGAAAGTCCCTGCTAGGACTAGGGCTCCGCTACAACGGTAATCTGAAATTCACTTTGAATTCCCTATGTAGCAGAGCTGCGATCCTGAGACCGAGCTGGAATAAAGCAACATAAAAAGCCACACTCTGCTTTTTATGCACAGACCCCCAGCATGGAGTCTCCATAGGAAAAATTACAAACCCCCACCAGGCGTCTGTTTCTGGGAGATTGGGTCAAAAGAAAGAGAACTCAATTATCTCTCAGTTACAGGAAACCATACAATTTTACACAAAATACCCCCAAAACATATCTAAAATATACAGGAACCCCACAAATCTTATATCCCCCAAATAGCCCGATCTAAACGCCCAAGTTGTCCAAAGAGTGCTCAGATCCATTTGGTAGAATGGAATCGCCATTTGGGTAAAGTTCTGACCGGCCATGAAGAAAAAGCCAAAAATAGTTCCACAAGAAAAGGGGCAGTGGCTGGTCTAGGTTCGTGTGTGAACACCTGCGAACGCTCCCCCTAGCTTTCTCCTAACTCATCTGGGAGAGGAACGGGCAGCGGTAAAAGTTTCTCTGGAGTTTGCGGGATTGCGTAGCCATCACAGAGTTCCAGACACTCAATGACAATGTACCGCTGCCTGTGTTCAGGAGAAAAAATGGCCACCATTCACTAGAGCGCGTGTGTTCGGTTATATGAATGGCAGCCAGCCAAGGAAAGCACTTTAACTAATTGTTCCTTTGAAGTTAACAAGGTCCGCCAGATCCTGGAGATAGGTACGGGCAACCGAAGGGAATAGTATAAGGTCCGCCACATCCTGGAGATAGGTACGGGCAACCGAAGAGGATAGTGTAAGGTCCGCCACATCCTGGAGATAGGTATGGGCAACCGAAGGGGATAGTATAAGGTCCGCCACACCAAACAAGTCACAAACCTTGTTTGTTCTGCACTTTCCTCCGGGTTATTTACTAAAGTGAGACTTGTTGGGAATTCAAAATCAATTTAAAATTTAAAGGGACTCACCACTACTCAAAATTTTTTTATTTTTTTTTAAAATCAGTTTAGTAGATATACCCTCAATGATCACATATAAACATTCAAATTATGCGTTATTTTTTCCACTGGTGTTTATCTAAAGATAGATTGCAAAACTACAGGTCTCCTGTCTGCAGCCTTTACAAGCCCTCCCCTTCTAACCCCGCCCACACTTTCTGTGGCTGTCCAATCAGACTCCCCAATGCAGCTCAATGAGATGTCTTTGCAAGGCAGGTGCTCTGGGAAATTGCTGCCAGTTGAGTTTGTCTCTACTGAGCTAACTAAACCAGGAAGTAACCGGACCGGCTGTGTGATTGGCAGGCAGGGGTGTAGCAAGGTTCATTTATAAGACTGCTAAATTCTGTTGAAATTCTCTAAGTCTGTTCTTTTTCCAGTTCAGCTATTTAGGCCTTAAATTTGGGATTTACTTTGAATTCCCAATAATTTACACTTTAGTGAATAACTTCCCTGTTTATAAACTGTTATGTATTAAAGGATATCTTAGCAACAGAACGAGGAAGAAATGTGTATGAACTAGCTCTGGCAATACCTATAGTATTAGTCATGACACTCTTATTGTGTAATGTATCAGGAAGGGAAGGTGAGGACAGCCACTCGACCAGAGAAAGAAGTCTGGGAATCGACCCCTGAACAAGTGAGCCGCACAAAGACTGGAGGGTGCAACCTGTCCCCAGCCCTATACAAAGGCAAACACAACTTTAATATGTAGAAATGCAGAGGGAAGACCAGATATCCAACATTGCTTCAATGTCAGCAAAAAAACCCCCATACATTGAGTCCAGTGGAGTGGGGGAGCCAGGTAGGTGTGGAGGGAACAGTGTTCTACCCATCTGAGTCACAGGGATGCTGGTCCACACCCCCAACTCCCCGGCATTGGGACCCTGGCCATCCCACAGCCAATGGAGCTCCTGGGAGAAGACCTAGTCAGCCTCCCTTCCCAGTGGCAGCTTGCAACCCAGGGAGAGGAGGCAGAGTTTGCCAGCCTACCTCTCCAGTGACAGATTCTGCTCTCTGGAGGTTAGTCTGCCTCCCTAGCAGGAGGAGTGTTGGGTCCCTCCCAAACAGCACAACTGAGCTTTATAGTGCAGCTTTGTCTAGAAGGCTGGCAGACCGATTGGAGATCTGGTAGCATTTTGACTACCCTGGAGAGGCAAGTGAAAGATGTGACAGAAGCTCCCATACCAGCCTCTTGCCCACTGACTATGGGCGAGGACCCAAGAGGCACTGGACGCTTCCTGTGCTTCCCAGCCAGACTTGAACTGTGTTGATTCTGTAATGTAAATTGTATGGAGGACTCTCTGGAGGGAGAGTCACTGTTCTGTAGAATAAAGAATTCTTCCCCTACAGACTCATCTACTGTGTGGGAGAAATGCTATAGCATAGCTAAATCACTGCCCTACAAGAGAGGGGATCCCAGAGCTATATTCTCTAGGGCCTGGTCCAGTGGCTATAGCATAGCTAGTCACTGCCCTAAATGAGAGGGGATCCCAGAGCTATATTCTCTAGGGCCTGGTCCAGTGGCTATAGCATAGCTAGTCACTGTCCTACATGAGAGGGGATCCCAGAGCTATATTCTCTAGGGCCTGGTCCAGTGGCTATAGCATAGCTAGTCACTGCCCTACATGAGAGGGGATCCCAGAGCTATATTCTCTAGTGCCTGGTCCAGTGGCTATAGCATAGCTAGTCACTGCCCTACATGAGAGGGGATCCCAGAGCTATATTCTCTAGGGCCTGGTCCAGTGGCTATAGCATAGCTAGTCACTGCCCTACATGAGAGGGGATCCCAGAGCTATATTCTCTAGTGCCTGGTCCAGTGGCTATAGCATAGCTAGTCACTGCCCTAAATGAGAGGGGATCCCAGAGCTAGATTCTCTAGGGCCTGGTCCAGTGGCTATAGCATAGCTAGTCACTGCCCTACATGAGAGGGGATCCCAGAGCTATATTCTCTAGGGCCTGGTCCAGTGGCTATAGCATAGCTAGTCACTGCCCTAAATGAGAGGGGATCCCAGAGCTATATTCTCTAGTGCCTGGTCCAGTGGCTATAGCATAGCTAGTCACTGCCCAACATGAGAGGGGAGCCCAGAGCTATATTCTCTAGGGCCTGGTCCAGTGGCTATAGCATAGCTAGTCACTGCCCTACAAGAGAGGGGATCCCAGAGCTATATTCTCTAGGGCCTGGTCCAGTGGCTATAGCATAGCTAGTCACTGCCCTACAAGAGAGGGGATCCCAGAGCTATATTCTCTAGGGCCTGGTCCAGTGGCTATAGCATAGCTAAATCACTGCCCTACAAGAGAGGGGATCCCAGAGCTATATTCTCTAGGGCCTGGTCCAGTGGCTATAGCATAGCTAGTCACTGCCCTAAATGAGAGGGGATCCCAGAGCTATATTCTCTAGGGCCTGGTCCAGTGGCTATAGCATAGCTAGTCACTGCCCTACATGAGAGGGGATCCCAGAGCTATATTCCCTAGGGCCTGGTCCAGTGGCTATAGCATAGCTAGTCACTGCCCTACATGAGAGGGGATCCCAGAGCTATATTCTCTAGGGCCTGGTCCAGTGGCTATAGCATAGCTAGTCACTGCCCTACATGAGAGGAGATCCCAGAGCTATATTCTCTAGGGCCTGGTCCAGTGGCTATAGCATAGCTAGTCACTGCCCTACATGAGAGGGGATCCCAGAGCTATATTCTCTAGTGCCTGGTCCAGTGGCTATAGCATAGCTAGTCACTGCCCTAAATGAGAGGGGATCCCAGAGCTATATTCTCTAGGGCCTGGTCCAGTGGCTATAGCATAGCTAGTCACTGCCCTAAATGAGAGGGGATCCCAGAGCTATATTCTCTAGTGCCTGGTCCAGTGGCTATAGCATAGCTAGTCACTGCCCAACATGAGAGGGGATCCCAGAGCTATATTCTCTAAGGCCTGGTCAAGTGGCTATAGCATAGCTAGTCACTGCCCTACATGAGAGGGGATCCCAGAGCTATATTCTCTAGGGCCTGGTCCAGTGGCTATAGCATAGCTAGTCACTGCCCTACATGAGAGGGGATCCCAGAGCTAGATTCTCTAGGGCCTGGTCCAGTGGCTATAGCATAGCTAGTCACTGCCCTACATGAGAGGGGATCCCAGAGCTATATTCTCTAGGGCCTGGTCCAGTGGCTATAGCATAGCTAGTCACTGCCCTACATGAGAGGGGATCCCAGAGCTATATTCTCTAGTGCCTGGTCCAGTGGCTATAGCATAGCTAGTCACTGCCCTACATGAGAGGGGATCCCAGAGCTATATTCTCTAGGGCCTGGTCCAGTGGCTATAGCATAGCTAGTCACTGCCCTACATGAGAGGGGATCCCAGAGCTATATTCTCTAGGGCCTGGTCCAGTGGCTATAGCATAGCTAGTCACTGCCCTAAATGAGAGGGGATCCCAGAGCTATATTCTCTAGGGCCTGGTCCAGTGGAAGAGGTTATCCAAGTCTCCAGTCAAGCTGACAGAATAGCATTTGAGGTAACCATTAAAAAGGTGAGACTACACTTCCCACAATGCATTTGAGTTTTAACTCTGGTTGTGCATCAGATGCAGAACAGCGTAGAAAGCTTTTAAATGGTCTCCCCTTATATTTTCAAGGAGGCAGGGGTAGAAAGAAAAATGTAAAGTTTATCAGCCAATATTGGTATTGCACAGAAATGACAAGTTACAATGTGTCGATACGGCCCTGGTGTAGATGTTCAGGCACTTTATCATCTGTGGTTGCACAGCTTCTATACTAGGCACAAAGACCTGGTAGTTAGAGTCCGGCATCCACCAGCAACACAGGATATACTGCTCCGATAGGGACATTTGTATAGGAGATTTAGCGAATTGACTGGCAATTCTCCAACTACTCTATAGTGGACAACAGCAATATACCTGCATGCTTCGAGAAACTTGTCAACTCATATTCCGGCTCAGACAATAACAATTCTCCAAATAAACTGACAGAGGACCAGGGGAAATCAAATCAATAAAAAAAAAATAAAATAAAAAAAAAAAGTACATTTCTAACAGTTCAATTTAAAACAGGTAATTCAATTACCGGTAACGTTAGTAAAAATATCAAACAGAGGGCATCAGGTACATGTAATTCCAAACAGAGTGAGAAACAATGAAGCTAATTAACAGACCCCACTCTGTCTCCCTAGTTGTGTACAGAGGGTGTGCTTGCACTGCAGGGGGGTTATCAACCATTGTTCCTGCCTCATTTACTGATACACAAGTACACCATGCAGAATTATGCCTTGTACTTAAAGCAGTAGGGGGAGGAGGGGGAGAGCACTGGGTTAGGGTCCACTGTTCTGTTACAGTCCTGTTTGTTACATTGTATTTATGCCAGATTGGCATGTGAATATACCCTTCTATGTATCTTTGGTATGTAAAACCTGAATTCAAGTAGAATAATGTTAGTATTCTTATTGCCAGCATTGGAGGGTTATGGGTAATGTTCCTTGCAGGCCACAATCTAGCTAGCTCTAAATCCCTTCAGTCAACACCAGGCTAAGAGACAAATGTTTGTAACTAGGACTGTATGCATTTGTATTCAACATTGTTAAAGATTGTCCCTGAGGAAGGCCCTAACAGGGAAGAAACGCGTTGGACAGATATACCTATTATTTACTTTGACGTAAATAAATGCTTTTTTTACTCTTCATACAGTCATTTCAATTTTTTGGTTTTTTTATGAGATCTATATTCATCAAACATTGAAGCAAAAAGACACACCAATCACACTTTTGAAGGCATTTCTTGGGATGTTAAAGTGTGAGTGAACATTTGGCCCTTACTTATATACCCATTTTACCACAGCCAATATTGCACTATGCCATGTATTTCTTATTTCCCTAGCTTGGAATAGCCCTATACCATATACTTGTTGAATTGAAGATGGAGGAAATCTTCGGGCATATCCTATATTGCTAAGGGAAGTTACTATTTGTTTATTCCACCATAACCACTTTAAATTGAAGTTTCTATATCACTGTATGTGGATTTTAGAATCATTGTTATAAATTCACGAGTGTGTGAGAGATTCCATATATACTTTAAGAGACAAATCTGCCAGCTTTCCATCAGAAAACAGTCACCTATACAGGTTTCAGACAGTTTCTCAACATTAGACAATAAAAAGATGGGAACAAGCCCACCTAAAAGAGGGCGCTAATCTTTACAGGCAAGTAATGAAACGCAATAACATTAAAAGTTATATATTTATTCTGCACACTATGCAGTGGATAAAACAACTTTATATTACAAAAGCAGCACAATTGTAAGACCTGGAAAAAAAAAAAACCCCAACTAAAAACCACTAAGCTGGCAAGTTCAATGGATGTAATATACAGCCCTAGCTCGCGAATCCTAGGTCCTAAAACATACTTGGAGCTGATGTTATAATATAAACGTAAAAGCGGTAATGAAATACAGTATCTGGACTGCTGGATCTGTAGATCTGATGGCTCTGACTCAACGCGTTTCATCATGCATTCTTTGGGACTTCCTCAGGAGCTGTAGACACTTTCTCAACATTAGACTACACTAAACGGCTAAGCAAGACACCAAGGTCATTGTGAGAACTTGACCCACGCAGCACCCAGCAAAATGGAAGTTTGCTTATATATCAGACTTCTAGATTGTATTTCTTCACATCGTAGAATGGAAAACCAACTGGCAAGTGCTAGACCAAAGTTCCCACTTTGGACATGATGTGATCATTTCTGTAGTGGAGAATCCCCATGCTCCTTACCTCAAAGTTTGTAATAAATTCATAGGTTAGTAAATATAAACATTGACTCTTCCCTCAATTGGTCGGGGGGGGGGGGACTGATATTTTTTAGAGCCACAAAGCTGCACAAAGACAAATTTTTAAAATTTTATTTAAATACTTACAAAATAAAAAATGTTTTAAACACATCTGTGCATATTGCATAGATTTATATAAAAAAAACACAATACATTAAATACTATGATACAAAAGTGTGCAAAACTTAATACATTCAAGTTACAAAACTTCATAAAAACCCAAGAATCCTCAGAATATTAAGTAATTGGCAAGAGCTTTATTTGCACAATGAGAAGTAAAGGATTGTGGGTTACCCACTCACCTTGCACGGAAGGCAGTCACAAAACCCGTCATTTATGACTGGATACAGTCAGAGTACCCTCTTCAACCTAAAACTGGCAACAGCACAGAGAGAAGGTGGCTTACATAGAGACGCGAGAAGTAATTCATGTAGGACATCTTTAAACCTGCCCAATCTTACTGCTTTGCAGTAATGGACGTTTCGGGTGGTTTATTTACTAAATAGATTGTATTGAGCTGAAAATTGGAAAAGAGATCGCTGATTGTGGCAAACATCTATTCACGGCTAGTCACAGCATGGCCATTTTATCCTAAATTTCACTACAATTCAGAGTTTAGTTAAGTTCAGTTAATAAGGCCCATGAGTGGAGCAAAAAGATTAAACAAATTCATATCTAGGATGAGAATAATTTTAGCTGTCACCATGGAAGCCAGTGTAAATTCTGCCGGAATGCTCAGTTTTTAAATTTTCCCACCAATTGAGCTTTATAATTAGTCCCTACAGATCCCAAAATATAACCAATATATGTAGCAAACTTACATTAGTGGAAGCTCTCAAAAAGTAGCATTTAACCAAAAACTTGAACTTAAATGCCACTTTTAATAAGACAATTTGGTTTTGAGGTTCTTTTCGTTACACATGGTTTATTGGACTGGTCACAGTGCAAAAACAACAAGTCAAGTGTAGCTTTGACCCGTTACATAGGACTTTCAGACAATAAGTCAACAGAAATTAATTCTTTAAGTAGTCTGATTTCACATTATGTATACATTCATTTACAAAAAATAATTGCACTAAGCATTTCACAGTTTCCCCATTATGAAATATAAAACGGACCCCTTTACACGGTTACAAAAATAATTCAAAAAAAAAAAAAAAAAGTTTAGCTACATTTCCCATGAAGCACAGGAAAAGCATGACAACTGGTCATAATGGGCATTATAGTTGAGACTTGGGGTTCCAAGGCCAGCCCATTGATTTAAGCTTATCCAGGGCATTACACTGTTCAATTAGTCTTACGTGGGCAAGCATAGTTTGGAGCAAGGCCTACCGAAGTAATTGAAATAAAAAAAAAAACACAACAACTATATTTTGCGTATTTGTCAAATATCACCTATTTGAGACTGGATGCAGGTATTAACAGATCTGATACCGGTTTGAGGAGTATGCTGCCCAGTGATACAGGCCGTGTGAGTACATTGCACCGCTTAATATTTGGGGACATGATACAAGTCATGTCTTGCACATTATAAATGAACATTAAATCCCATTACATATGGGGCAGTACTCTGCAAGTACCAAATAATTACAGTCATCTCAACATTAATTTAAGGTTTTAAATGTGAGACCACCAGTTTGGTAAATTTAAGTTAAACAAAATTGTGCTTTTTTAAAAAAATTTAAAAATAAAATAAGGGAGAAGTGGGGTTACATGTGGGACTGGGCTTGCCTTTCAAAATACACTCCAATAACTTATTCCCCACCATAACGGCAGGTGGTGACCAGTTGCACCAAAAAAAAAAAATATATATTAAAAACAAAAAAAAAAAATAGGAGAATTTAATGGGAAATGGGAAAGTTTAATTGAGTTTGGCGTGGCTTTACCAGTGCATTGTGTTAGGAGGAAGTCTTACCAGAAGCCACGCCGACAGAAACAGCCAAAGTTACGGGTTGGAGGAGGGAATCTGATAAAATATACCTTTCATAAATTTTAAAATAAACTCTACAATAAGTTTTTTCCTTTCTCAAATAAAAGAATCTTCATGGAAGATATGATAGAGGCAACTCGTGATCCCAAAGTCATAATACAAAAGATTAAGTTGCCGAGAGAAATCCAAGATCAGTCTTTGAAATCAGCTATCCAGGTTGATCATAGGTGAATATTTTGAGGTAATGAATTGCTTCTGTAAACAAAGTAACCCCTTCTCACAGGCAGGAGACACTATCTCCCTATACTCTGTGTAGCCAGTAACAGACACAGAGGTTTGTGCAAAGTTAGCATTTCTTTCCAACGTTAACACTTTTCAGGTTTGCATTTCAGAAATTTAGAGTCTACAAGAAAGTTGTTAGTGTGATGACAGTCAGTATCCTACAAGGGCTCCTATAATGTGGTCAAGTTCATTTGAGTCCTTTACACTCTTGCTCAAATTACAAGAGGGAGCAATGCAGTAAGGCTCAATCCAGACATCCTCAGGAGGCGGTAACTGGGTTGTGGTGCTGCTAGCACCAGACATTTCTTTCTCAAAGACCGATGTGTCTATGTCCATGAAACGGTCGTTTAAGGAGATTCCGTTGAGGTAGGAAGATTTAGTTATTTCAAAGCGTCCGAACAGAGAATGCATGGGGCTAGCAGGTATCTCCTGCAGAGGCCGAAAATTGTCAGTCATTTCACAGGTCGGTTCAGCCGATGCATCCAACATACAAGTGTCCCAGTCTACTGGGATCTCCGGGAGTGAGGGAGCTTTGCTTGCAGCCAATATCAGGCTATTGATCAATTCATTATTGCTGCTAGGGAAAGCTGCTGAACTGGAATCCAAGAGGTTGTTTAAGTCGTCAAATAGTGTGGGCTGAGTTGTTGGAGGGCAAGAAGTCTGGATTTCAGTGTTGGTTACAGAGTACTGAGGAGTTATCGAGTATTGGGGGGTCTCTGTACAGGTCTCAGAAACTTCTTGAAGATCTTTAACGATGCTATCTATAGCAGCAGAGGCGTCTACGGCAATGGCAGGCAGTGTGAGGTTCTTCAGATCTTCAGGCAGATAAACCAAGCACTCCTCCATCTCTGCACTGAGACTTACAGCTGGCTCAGGAGGTGGATCCTCAGAATCAGAAAATGGCATGTCTGCACAGGGCTCTCTGGACAGGGACACCGTGCATTCACATCACTCTGGATGACTTTCAGAAAGTTGGCAAGCAGGACAAGTACCCTTGGACTACAGTCTTGCATAATACACCTGGACATCTTCTCCAAAGTTACCTGGACAATAAACTCTCTGGCCGTAGCAGGGTTGTGCCTATAACAGATACAGGGACGGTGGGCACTCCTCCCACTCTGCTCCAATTCACCAACTTTCCTTTTCACGCCCTTACTTGCCATCTGTGAGTAAAAGAGGCATTTAGTAAGATTTTACAAATAGGTTTTAGAGACAGCAAAGATAAAATGGAATCCAATCTTTGTTAGTCCCACATCAAGAAGAATTTACATTACTAGTGTTAAACCAAGCCCCATTAATAGACCCAAAGCCAAAAATATGAAACTCCTACCAGTGATTCAACCCCAGGGTGTTTTAGTTACACTAAGGTTGTCTGCATAACATTAGAGGGAGGCACAGCATGGTAAGCATGTATGTACATAGCACAAACATTACAGAATAATTACACAGGGTCAGAC